TTGCCGAATGAACTTGGCCAAATTCAGGTCTGAAAGTGACATTTAACCTTAGATAATTACCCACTTTGCTTACGTCTCCTCAGATCAAGGCAGAATCGCCCAATTCCCACTTGGGTAGCCACTATTATTTTCAAATGTTCTCATGATACAATTTTAAGAAATCCTTCAAGTTTACAGTAAAATCGTGCATTTTTCTTATAGTTGAGATACTGCTGTTGCCATGCAATTATGTGCAAAAGAATATTGTTGGTTGCTAGGGAAATCACTCGAGAACTTTTTTTTTATTGGAGAAAGTCCTAAAACCATCACAAAGATGGTGTCACAATAGAGGTGTGTTTTCTAGGTGCCACCGTGTGGAAGGTTCATTATGTGACTCCCAAATTCTACCCGGAGGGAAGCGGAGCCTGCTACAGAAGCGGGATATGTTCGTGTTCGGGTGATGTCACCTACCACGACCCGCCTCTCCTCTTTGACATCTCCAAGGACCCTTCCGAAGCCCGACCGCTGAACCCTGACAACGAAGCGTTATTTGATTCCGTGATCAAGAAAATCGAGGCAGCTATAAAAGAACACCGGGGGACGCTGACACCTGTCCCACAGCAGTTCTCCGTGTTCAACACGATTTGGAAACCGTGGCTGCAGCCGTGCTGTGGGACCTTCCCCTTCTGCGGGTGTGACAAGGAGCATGACATCCTACCCACTGCTCCCTGAGCAAGGGGGACCACTTGTTACGCAGCACGAACTTGCTGTTACCATGGTCACAGGGTCAACGCCCACCTGACTCGTTCATGGCATTTGGGATAAAAAAACGAACGGCTTCGATGGTTGCTGTGTTGTCAGACAGCAGTTCTTCCTTCCCAGGGTGCGGGGAAATGAAAGTGGGTCCACACAAGGGCAAAACCCTCTTTTCTTCTTCTCTCTTCAAACGGTTGAGAGGATACCAGGGTTCCATACCTAAGTTAGCCAAGAATGTGGGGGAAGTATTTAAAAACACGGGAAAACAATAGGGAAGGTCGGCCACCACGCATGAGTAGAATAACAATTAACTGAAGGAATTTCTGAACCTTCTATTTTGCATACAAATATACAAAACTTTGTCGTATAATATGTTTTTAAAAAATATATGATTGTGTCATTGTTGAAGGAAAAAGACAGAGCGAGATGACTTTCACAGATCGTTGCGGATCTTTGGTTTTTAGAAGATGAGTCGTAGATGTAGCAGGTCCAATGTCATTGTGTGGACGTGGCTAAGTTAGAAACTTTGGCTTGCAGATCCTAGCCGTGGACGTGCTATTTTTGTAAGAAATCGTGGTAAGAATTTCATTTCGTCATGCAGCAGATGCTATACATTAAATGCTGAGGTTATGCCACAGTCCATTTGACACCTACATTTTCCCTGGTTTTCTTTTTTTCCTCTTTCTGTCCAAAATTCATTTGTTTTTCGGAGACAAAATACCTGGCTACAGCTCTGGGCTTTGCTTCACGCCATGTGACTGGGGACACATTTCTGTTATTTGGTTTCTTCGTGTATAAAATGGGCAAAACCAATGTCTACTTCCTGGAGTTGCTGTGTTAAACATATGAAATAAATCATGTGACATTGCCTTGTATAGAATGAGCATTTGATAAATATTATTAATGCTGTTGTTATGGTGAGCATTATCAATTGCGGTTAATTATGGTTCCTGAAGGATAGAACAGGAAGAATGAGGAAGAGTCCATATTTAGAGAAAAATAAAGAAAAATGCCTAAGACAATTATTTAATTGCAGGCATACATAGAAAGTAATTCTGGGCAGGATAAACAAAAATAAATCCATGACTTGCAGCATCATAACTGAAGCCTACAAAGGACAGAGACAAGATCTGCGGATCGGTCAGAGGGAAAGATTAGGTTGCCTGCATATTAATAAGTATTAAATTAAAAGCAAACACTTGCTAACAGCCACAGTGGAAACCATAAGACAATAGAATCATGTCTTCAAACTGTTGAGAAGAAACCAGAGTTATATACCTACGTTATTCAATAATGATGAAATATCTAAAAACAGAAAAATAATATTGAGAATTTACAACCATGGATTATCAGAATAACTATTAACTGAAGAAATTTCTGAAAAGAGAA